GTATCAGGGTTCAAAAAACCCAAATTTCATAGTGATAATTTTGTTTACATGTTTGTTTACGTTGTGGTTGCCCGAATTTGAAGTCAAAGTGAAGTCATACAATGAGGTATCGCTTTGCATGACGGTAATTTTTGAAGGTATTGTAATCTGTCTGACTTCCTGACTCAGTCGGCCCGCGTGTGAACGGATTGTTTACCCGCACTGCGGTTCGAGACAAAATGCTAGTCGTTTCCAGACCGGGGATAGAGGGACTGTGGATTAATGTAAAATTGGTAATTAAGTCTTCAAAATTAACTGAGAAACAAATCAAGCAAATGAAACAATCCATACATTGAGTATACATTAAAATTAAGATTGACAGAGAATGATTATTCAATTTTTATTTCTTTGTGTTTGCAGATGGACTATAGCAGTAGTTCTCACATTAGTCAAGACCCACTTGGGACCCACACAACTTGTGCGAAAATCACGCCTTCTTTCGCCAACCTGTTATTTAACCCATACGTGGAAAACAATATACATATGATGATAATAATAATTGCTATAATATTGAAATTATATACATTTGTTATTCTGGTATTTATGCTAAAAACAATAATTTATTCACATTGATATAGCATTGCAAGAAAAAATTGTCCTGAATCAGTATATGATGTTCAACACTGAGGGTGTGATTTTGGTTTGTGCCATGAGTTCAGGCAGCAAGTTTTGGCACATGCCGAGTTTCTGTCCTGAGCATCTACCAGGACCGAGATTTATAACATGAACGCCACTAATATCTAAGTTTTAAAGATATTTGATGAAGATTGTTTGAGTTATTGTAACTACAAGAAAAGGTTTTAATGACAAAAACAACAACAACAACAACAACAACAAGAGCACAAGCACAGACATTTTCCCGTCATATACTAGTATCTTGACCTTCATCAAGATGACCAAGGTTGAAAAGATGGCAGTGTTCTCCCTAAAGCGTTTTAGCGTAGCAGGGCCGCTACTCTATTATTTATACAGATACTCTGAGAAATTGCCCACTACTCTGAGAAATTGACCGCTACTTTGTGGCATTTCCTGTTACTTTGTTTTAGCTTGTAAATACACATGCGAGTCTGTTAGTTAGTGTCATCAGCGTCCGGTACTGTGAGCCAAATCAGGTGTGAATGCAAACAGTGATTACGCAAAGACAATAGGCTATTACAGCTTCGTACTTCGACAATAAACACTTTTGCCATATTTAATGGGGGTAAACGTGAGCGTTTTCTCAGTAGCATATTCGACTTGAAGCAGCAACGATGTCAAGCAGCAGAAATATTACGCTGGGCCCCTGGTTCCGAGTGATAAACCCACCAGCAACGTGGTCGCCGGTACCCCTGTCGGCCGTGGTACTAAATGTGTACAAGATGACGTTACAACGAAAGATGCAAAGAAAAGAAAGTCTGGGTTTGATGCACAATGGACAACAAAATATACGTGGCTGAGAGAAACATCTGATGGCAAAGGTAAAAAAAGTATTTATTTGTAGCGTTTTACTTGGAAGCGTATTTTGACCTAGTTTAGTAAACTTTTGTATGGCTTCATTTTTTGACGATCGTCAAAACATTTTTTTTGGGAACTCCTTTCTTTCTGGAAGTTCAAAAATTGTTGGCTACGATTTATCGAAATAACTACATGTGTAATACTAGTATTGTGTTGTGAAATAGTTGGGTAAATTTTATCGTGGCTTCCATGAAAGTCAAAAGAATCAATATTACATAGAAAGCACACAGCAGCAGATTATAGAATATACATGTATATATGGTTTCTGAGACAAAACACAACAACTGTGCTTGCCCTAATTTGTATGTTTGCACACTGCAAATTGGAAAAGTACTTTTTTGACAGTAAATTCAAACTGGGAGAATATATTTTTAATAGTTCAAGATAGTTCAAGCAAAGTTGTACCCATACTGTTAATTTAATTTATGTTAAATTATGTATTTTCTATTTCTGATGTGCTAGTGTATGTATAACTGTATGTATATGTAATGTTTAACATATAACATATATGTAATATATAACTGTATGTATAATTGTCAACTGACCACAAATTTATGTTATAATGAGCAAAACATAATGCTAATTATTATGTTAATTAGCTGATATGGTATGATTGATTTTATAAGACAAACCTTTCTGAGAAAAAAAATTGCACATTATATGTTTTTCTTTCTTTTATAATTTCATGTATTTAATGTGTTATTTGTGTCAATTACAATTATTATATGAAAAAAATAATTTGTCGAATTATTTTAAATTTTTTATTTATTTTTTGTGCAGAATTGTAACAGTATTATTTAATATACACTAAACAAGATGACCTGACGTGGTCCATCGTGATAAAAACACAAACCTTCATTTTCGGATATTCTTGTCATCATAATTCTCGACGCAGCCAGACTAACGTAGAGCCCACCGAGCAATAGTGTTACCCATGCTGTTTGGTCGCACACACATGCTCTTAGCCTTTTTAGCGTGTCGCTGCAGCAATTCATTACACTTCAAATTCTTCTATCTCGATTGCATTCAGTCGACCTATACACAGATAACAATTACACACTATCTGACTCGGGATTATAAAAATGTATATAAGTACATCATTGTACGTTATGTACTAACCATACTTACGTACCGGCTTTACCGGGCTGTGTTATCCCGTGTAGTCTGACCCAATTCCACAGAATTTGACACTGTATATTGGCATTAGTTGTAGTCAGGTTAATTTTTCAGCTTAATAAAAACGTTTCGATCCCCAAACGCAAATGCGCACTCTTCACCCCCCTAAAAATGTAATTTGACCACGTAGAAAAGTAAACCGGAAGCGGCCATGTTGTTTTTTATCTTTCAGGCGCATGCGTCAACAGTCTGTGATCTGTGATTGGTGTACAGTCCGAAAGATTTTGAAAATCCCACAATCCTCTGCGTGAGCCAGGTTACTGAGGTCAAGTGACTTTTATTTTCGATGTATTCCCAGGTATTATCCTTAGGTATCCTGCAGTCTACGGTAAATACCATTTAGGAAATTATCTTGTTAGAACTTTTGTTTTTAAATTACTTCAAGCATAACTTTATGATTACCTAAATAATATTAAGTTTTTTTAATGGATCATGTATTAAACCAGTCATTCAAGTTTGCAAACCAAAATGTTAGCCTGACGAGGTCGCGTGAGTTGCGCTGCTCCAAACTCCAAACACGCCTGACAGAACGATGTAGTTTTTCACTTCCACCGACGATTTTTTGTCTGTACTATCAATCTCAGGAACGTCAGATAGTGACTGTCAGCTACCAAAGAGTAACCGTTCACGGTAGAGTTTATTGTTTGTTGGCATAATGTGTGATAAGGTGCTGGAAAATTTCCGCCCAATATTTAAAATCATCTTGTTGAAAACAGTCTGTGATTCTTGCTTTGATTGACGGTGTTACCATGGCCACCAACATATGACATACACTATATATGGAAAATCGTGTTATTTTCGGGAAGATTCGATGTCATAGTGTCAACGCTTTCCTACCTTGTGTTATTATATGAGTAGTAGGGGAATGTACCGGCGACTAACTATGCCGATCCCAGGCTAACCAAAATGTCTGCAAAAATAAATCAAACAGAGCACTGTTGAAAAAAATTAGTAGCAGTAGATGAAGTCAAATTTAACAGATTTGAAAAACATGGGTGTTTTCTTTTCTAACACAGTTTTTCTATTGTGATATTATGATAGAGGGACTGTGGTTCTTTTTACTATTTCAGTAGTTGTGTAGAAAGTTGTGTAACCTTCGAGCATAAGGGTAGTATGGCTTCACCTATAAAAGCACTGGAGGATAGGCCCCAGATTAGCCTGTGGAAGCGATTCCTCATTGAAATGTCCAAGGAATTAACAGTTGCTGAGCTGAACCAAGCCAAGTTTGCTGTCACTGAGAAAGCCATTGGCCAAGGAGGTTTTGAAGACATTAAAGATGCAGAAACATTTTTCAATACCCTTGAGACAAAGGGTTACATAGATGAGGATGACACTAGCTACTTGGAGGACATATTCAAAAGTATTGGTGTTATTCACGTTTTGACTGAGTTAGAACAGTATAAAAAGGAGAGACAAGAATACCGTAAACGTAGGCGGGAAATTGATAAGCGACCTGGAGCAGTGTTTATTGGACGAGAAGGTTATCTAGAAGTGATTATGAAAATATTAGATAAGTCATTAGAAACTATAACCTGTGTGTGCATATGTGGAATGGCTGGCATGGGTAAAACGGAATTGGCAATGGAGGTGTGTGCCAGGAAGGAATGCAGGTAATGTATAACTGGTACTAACATTTTACAATTTTTAAGAAGATCAGTCATCAGAAACTAATTAGATTTGTCATTGTTGTTTTAACCCAAAATTTTTGGGTTGGCTATTCAGTGTTTTAAAGTATTGAAAATTTCTTTAATTCCAACCCAACTAATTTAGAGGACTATTTAAACCCTGAATCATATGTTTATAGAGATAATACAAATGTAACAGGCTTTTTTCAAATTTTGTCAATGAAAGTTTATTATATAAATATATCTCAAAAACTGTTTGGATTATTTCTTGATTGCTGACATTTTTTTCTCAAATTAACTTTTAGCCCCGCTGTCGACTTTGTCGAGCGGAGCTTATTGTATGAGTGATCGTGCACCGTCTACATAAACTTTTAACTATTTGGATTGCTTTGACACTTGGCATATATGTACTTCGGGTAGGCCTTGCTTAGATTTGTTCATTTCATGTAGATATCTTTAATTCTCTAATTTTTGTGATTATTTTTGTAATTTTTGGTAAAAAGTGATATTTTTTACTCCTTGTTAAAAAACGCACCTTTGATTGCTTTGATATTAATCATATAGATACCTCAGGTGGACTTCTCTCAGATTTCTTCATTTCATGATGGTGTTTTCAATTCTCTAATTTTGATGAATATTTTGTAATTTTTGGCAAAAAGTGTTATTTTTGACTTCTTGTTAAAAATCATATACCAGTAGGTCTGATTGCTTTGATATTATACATATAGATACTTCTGGTAGACCTCTTTCAGATTTGTTCATTTTGTGGTGATATCTTCAATTTCTTAATTGAAATGTGTTATCTCAGCCGAGAGGCTACTTGTTTGGAATTTAGTATATGCACACATTGCATTACAGAAACATTCCCTCCAAATTAAGTCTTTTGTTAGTTCTCACTTAATTTTCATTCTCCTCAGAGCGTATTATGTCAACTTACGAGAAGTTAAATCACCACGCGACATGATCCTTGAATTGTTAACTTCAGTCGGCAAGAACGTCACTATTGATAATGCACAGTTTAGCATAGTCAGAGATTGGTGTGTTTCATGCAAAATAGGTAATGGTACTGTTTTCAATATTCTAACTACCTAACTATATTGGTCAATTTACTTTTCAAAATATCATCATGTATAAGTTTTGTTAGTCTTACGAGATTTATAATTCGGTCTCCGTTGGTCCTGAGTCATATTTGTGGACCAAATCTGTTCATTCTTTGCATGTGCCTAGTACTTTATCTGGGGCATATATTCACATGCATTGGTTTACTGATTCAATCCAAGACGGCTATCCAGCATCCATTTTGGATCGCGACATGATCCTTGAATTGTTAACTTCAGTCGGCAAGAACGTCACTATTGATAATGCACAGTTTAGCATAGTCAGAGATTGGTGTGTTTCATGCAAAATAGGTAATGGTACTGTTTTCAATATTCTAACTACCTAACTATATTGGTCAATTTACTTTTCAAAATATCATCATGTATAAGTTTTGTTAGTCTTACGAGATTTATAATTCGGCTCCGTTGGTCCTGAGTCATATTTGTGGACCAAATCTGTTCATTCTTTGCATGTGCCTAGTACTTTATCTGGGGCATATATTCACATGCATTGGTTTACTGATTCAATCCAAGACGGCTATCCAGCATCCATTTTGTTTTTTAAAGATGTGGTATCTTATGTATGCTTTGTCATTTTGTTTTCAAATTTAGTACATACATTATACATGTACATGTTAGGATACATGTCTATGACTAATCATTTCACGATTGAATCAAAGATGACCGACTGACAGCCATCTTGTTTTTTGAAAATGATGTATCGTGGACATGGTCATTTTCATTCAAATTTGTTATATACATTGTACATTTTAGATTACATGTCCATGACAATTTGTTATATAATAGGATCAAAAATGGCTGACTGGTGGCCATCTTGTTTTTTGACCATACTACTACATGTATATGTCCAAGGCTTTTGAACCATTTTTATTTATATTTGGCACATATAGGAATACATGCTCATGTCAGTTTGTCCCATATAATGAGATCAAAGGTCACCAACTGGCATCCTGCTTGACAATGTGGTATCTTTGAAAGGATTTGTCTGTTTTGGATCAAGTTGGATACAAACATGATACATGATGATTTGTTTCATATTTGAAACCGAAATGACCATTGAATAGGCAGCCATCTTGTTTTTTCAGAATGTATCATTGACATGTTTTTTTTTTCCTCTTCATATTAAAAATGTGAGGATACTGTTCATGACAATTTGTTTTACACATTTGACTTCTTCAAAGCTGTAACTCTGAATACTTTCTAAATTTGGTATAGAGGCACCTTAAGTGAATGTCTCTCAAGAATAATTTTGTGTCATAATCACAAATGTTGGATTCTTCCTGCAATATATTAGCTCATACAACAGAGTTTGATTATGATCATAGGAAAACTGAAGCTCTAAAAACTGAAGCTCTAAATTTTACATTTTCAAATCATCACCAATAATGAAACTATTCATTACTTTGTTTTGTAGATCTTACGGGGTATTCAAAATTGCAGACTGGTGGCAATTTTGTTAATGCTTGAAAATGGCTAGCTGGATTGTAGACACATTGAGTGGAGTGACTGGTGGCAATCTTGTCTTTATGAATGATATACTGGCTAGAGCAACATTACATCATGGGATACATGAGCACATGCATTCATTTTGTGATCTGATACAAGATGCCGAATTGCAGCCACTTATCACTAAAAATTCATCATTCAAGTGTTTCTGACATTCCGGACCCAGATTTTGGTCATGTAATGGCAGATTACACCCAAACTTGTCCATGCATTGGATATTTTGGGACCTAGAGGCATGCAGATTTATTTTGCAGATCATTTTGCTTTTAGATGA